TCTGATCTCACAAATGCAATGTGAAATAGATAAACACAAAAAGAGTCCAAATCGGACAAATCTTTTGGAAAATTGATTTTGAATTAAAATTGTCAAAAATGGATTGCTTCACTAGATTACAGAGTCACCACCTAAATATTTTTGGGAAATTTAGGAAAATCGAGACTCGTGCCAAAGGTCATTTATCCGTTATCACCAAGATTGTCTCGGCTCGGAAACTTAGGTACGAGAGGGGAAGGTCATGAATTGAACACCCCACTCGCCCAATCAAAGATCGACTTCTACAAACATGATGTGATTCTTATTTACATTATATGCTCTTGTTCCGGTTATTAGACTAACATTACTATTTGTTACACACAAGTATAGACTAATTTGTAAAAATTGAAACACTTTGATTTCATGTTTGTTTTGAAAATTGTTTCGAATATGTACCACTTGAAAAAGTGATCTCATATGTATATTACTAAAATTATTCCAATTTAAGCAATTAGCCTTCATCCATAGGCAGTCAAGCAAATATAGCACTTAAGCAATTAGCCTCATGGCAAGAATGCTAGACATAGCAACAATCACACGCATGCAATATGCTAAAGCACAAAAATGCTCACCTCGCACTCCAAGGCAAGCCAAAAGAAACGAAAGAGTTATAAAATATGCATGCTCCTAACTAATGCAATATGCCTAATGCAACACATGTAATATGCAATTAATAGGCTCGGCCACTAATTATTACATGTGAATCAATTTGATAGTATGCGGTTTAAACACGTATTCAACAAAGTAATAAACAAAAATGCTTGTTAGAATGATGAACCGAGCCTAATGCATGCAAGACAATGGATGCAAACATGTGAAATGCTAAAAGAAACATGATGTTCTAAATTACCCATTATAAGCAAGTAAATAAAAGGGAGAAAGACGTGGGGTTGGAAGACATACACATTACTACAAGTTTTGCCCTCGCGCAAGAGGGTCCGAATGAATAAATTAGCTAAGCTACTTAACTAATTATTTCAAACCAAATGCAATAAATTAACTACACTAGCTAATTAGCTAATTGTTACAACAACAAATTTAACTAACTATTCTAGCTAATTAAATAAGTACAACAGAAAACTAACTAGCTATTCTAACTAATTTGTTATGAGTTTGTTACTCTAAGCACAACATACTAATATTACAACATCATTTTGACGGATCCCGAGAATCAAGGGACGGCTCATGCATAGATGTGGATTTCCACCTGATAATGCTCTCTATATTGCTACTGGAATGCCTCTATTGCTCAGTTAGAAAATTGGACTGTTTTTTCACCTCAGCCTCTACTCTGCTTTGCTCTGTTGGAAAAAGAACACTGTCTGGCTAGAAAAAGTGGCTGGCAACCCAGAAGTAGTGGCCGGCCGGCCACTAATATTGGTTCTTTCTTACAGCAACAGAGAGCAAACAGAGCACAAACCAGAGTATTCTTAGGGGATGTTTATTCACCCTGCCTCTCTTTATAGGCAAACAAGTTAAAGTTAGGGTAGGTTTGATTCGCAAGCCATCAATCGACGCAATTTCATTGCGTGATGACTTATGAACCAAGGGATACAATTTTGATAAATGCACAATAAAGACTCTCAAAACCCCCTTCCTATCATGGATTGATCAAGGGAAGTGGTTGACGTTGATTCTTGAACTGTTTTCATCACTAACAAGTATGAAACAAATCAAGACTCAATAGGTTTGATTAACATCTGATTGAACCCAAAACTTGACTTTATTATCTTGCTCCATTTTAAGCCATTGATTACCCCTTTTAATTACCTTCCATTCCTTAGTCAATTGAGTCCAATAATGAACTTTAAGTCCACTAATGGAGAGAAACACCAAACCAAATGTTGTTTTAAGCATGAAATGGAGATCATGACGTTGGTAATGAACCCTCAAAGGAATTAAACCATTAAGCACAATATCACCCCTTCAAGCTTAAACAACACTCCTTTTGGAGTGACTCTCAAAACAAAGAGAAAAAGCCAAGGTAGGTTGCAGAGATTCTTAGAGGTGAACACAAGTATGGAAAGTAAGAAATAAAGGCTATCAACTCAAATAGGTTGTTGGTTAAGGCCTAAACCACCAAGACTATGAGGACCATTACACTACAAGCATACTATACAAAAGCATAAATGAAGCTAACTCACAAAAACAGTCCAAAAAAGTGCTGAAATTAAGAAAAAAACAACTACAACAACTAGCTAAAATATTGAGGGATTAAAACTAGCACACAATCACAAGGAGGGGAGGCTAACCCCTCCACTTTTGGGACTTTAAAACATGATTTTTTTTTTCCTTTGAAAAACCTTTGAAAATCAGTGGTAAAAAGCTTAAAAACAGTTGATGAGAATGTGGGAAACACAAGGGCAAAGGCTTTAGAAGCAAGGTTCAAAGAGGGATTGTCAACCCCTCTACCTTTAATGGCCTTAAACCACAAGTTTTAGCCCAAAAAGAGAAATAATAAACAGCTCAAAAATAGCAAGAAAATATGAGAAGAAGATGGTATAAAAGAACTAAAATGTATACCTCTTAAAGAGGAATGATCCATTGAGTTTCCAAACCACTATTTCACACACTCAAGTGCCTCAAGAGCTAAAATGCAAGATCAAACCACCTTAGTAAGGAACTTTCTAGATTTGGTTTAGAGTGTTTAGGCAAAGGTTATGCAAGTTGCAAGAGAGAGGGTCATCTATATATAGAAATATACAAGAGACCCTTGAAAATATCTATACAAACACAGCTGGAATGGTGCATGCATTCGTGGAGACAGCTGACAGAAAATATCTGATTTTTTGCACTAGTGGCTAGCATGCCACACTAGTGGGTCTGCAGGTCTCTGGATGCTCACTAAAAAAGCATTGTTTTGGTCCAAAAAAAGGCACAAGGTTTACAGGTTCAACACTGAGGTTCCCTGCTGAGGAAGTTAAGCATTTGACAAGCATACACATTCATCATTGAGTGATTAATCAGTGGCACCCAAGTCTTAAGCGTCGTAAAAAATGGGTGTCTATAGTTGCCCCTCTTTGATAGAACTTGAAGTCATGACATGACGTGAGTGAATGTCAAGGCCTGAAGACGAACCATTTTGACAAGGTTGTAAGACTTGAGCAAACAATCAAGACATAAATCAAATTGGTTGAGCTCACAAGCTGCCTACGTATCCCTTTGCAGGGAATCAAACCAGCATAGTTGTGGTAGCCGAGTATAAAAAGCCACAATTTAGTGGAGCCGTATGTAAGTCGGCTCTTAAAGGCCGATGAACTGTGGTTCGCCTCGGCCGAATAAGCTTACCTTTATGGTCGAGTAGGCCATAGATCATACGGCGTAATTGAGGGCCCAGCTGTGAGGGAAGGTTTTCAATAAATGAGAAAGTGGGCCTCAGAAAAGTATTATAAAAAGAAGAGCATCAGTCAGAAGGAAGGTATGTGAGAAAAAGCTAACAACTTGTAATAGAAGAAAACTTGAGAGTATACTGACTTGCCTGTCGGAGTGCTGATTCTGGCACCCTCGACCGGAGTGTTCATCCTTATTTCAGGTATCATCACAAGGCTCAAAGTCATCTGCTTGGATCAGGAGAGTATTATCAAACCACGTAACCTCAATTGGTGCCGTCTCTGGGAATACTCTAACACGATCATGGCAGACGTAACAAACGATCATCCGTTCATTGTCGACGATGATACACCAAGAGATGACGTTACACCAAGAACTATGCTTGGTCCAGAAAACATCACTACTCGAAGGGCCCTAAACTTTGACCAAGTGGCCCAAACTTCACCGCCAACCTCGATGTAGGAAATCATGCAAATGATCGTGGATCGAGCAAAGCAAAGCGAACAGCATTTGGAAGACATGGAAGCTGAGAACAAATGCCTACGAAAAGAGTTGGCCATTGAGTTGGCCAAATCCCAACAAACTGCACCGCATCACGACTAGGGACGGTCATTAGAGAAGGTGAAAGATGATCGACGGCTTTGGCGTCGGAAACCCGACGTTAGCAGTACATCTTTCGACTCATCATCTCAGGAACCTAGGAAGAAGAGATAAGTCGACGAATCCAGCTCATCTGAGGGAACCCCAAATGTGTGGTGCCGGGAAAGTAAAAGAGCTGATGGTTTGGAGGACGAGGATAAACATGATCCTTTTGTATGACGCATTGCGAGGGCTACATTGCCTAAGGAGTTCAAAGCACCAAATTTCACTCTATATGACGACAAATCAGACCCCACGGATCACATTCGTCATTACAAATAGGTGATGACGTCGCATGTTGATGATGAAGCACTCATGTGCCGAATGTTTCTGAGCAGCCTGGGACCATTGGCCGTCAGATGGTATTATAAACTGGAGCCGGCCTCAGTTAAAAGTTTTTGCCAGCTTCAAAAATCCTTCAAGGTAAGATTCATCACCAACGAGGTCCAGCCAAAGCAAGCCAACTCCCTCGGGCAATGCAAATTAAACTAGAAGGAACCTTCCGCGAGTATTCGGCACGATATTGGGAATGTTTCAACTTAATGGACGATGCTTGCAATGATTCTATGGCTATCACTACCTTTAAAATGGGGTTGCACCCAGATAGCCCTCTCATAAGCTCGTTGACCAGACAGCCCCCCAAAACAGTCTGGGCGCTAATGAAGAAAGTTGAGGAGTATTGCAAGGTAGAGGATGACGCTCTCTGCGTTAAGGCCAGACAGAAAATTGCTAAATCGGCTCCATCTGGCGTGGTTCAACAGATAAGCGTCGTTCCACTAAGGAGCTCTGAACCACGAGGCCGAGCAAAATGAGACCATCGGCGAGATTTGCACCGATCAAGTGAACAATGTTCACGCCGTTTGAATGAGCAATATCAAGTGGATGGCAGGCGCCCCAGACGATCGAACAAAAAATACATAGAATTGGCAGAGCCGATTAGTAATATCCTACCCAAAATTCAACATCTACCTTTCTTTAAATGGTCGTCCAAGATGATTGGACCCACTGACACCAAATGCAGAGATTGGCGGTGTGAATATCACAAGGACCATGGCTATGACACTGACATCTGTTTTGCACTAAAGGACCATCTGGAAGAGTTGGTGCAGGACGGCCAACTGGCACAGCACATCCGCAAGGGTAACTCATCAAACACGGTAGCCGTACAGCCGAACTCGCCTCTGTTTGGTGTTATTCACATGATATATAGTCTTCCACCCCCAACTCAGGTGCATACGATTCAGATACAACCTGGCCTATCCAAATCATTCACACCAGCCAAACGACCTCATGAAATCAGACAAATCAGTTTCGACGACACTGATCTCAAAGGGGTCATGCTTCCCCATAACGATGCCCTTGTCATTGAATTGCGCGTCAGTAGATTTGTCGTCGAGCGTGTTTTGATTGATCAAGGAAGCACCTTAGAGATCATATATTATAAGACATTTCTTAAACTCGATTTTACCAAATCGGACTTGCTGCCAGCCGACTATCCCCTGTTTGGCTTCAATGCAAACCCCGAGTACCCTTTGGGTAAGATCATTGTGTCAGTATGTGCAGGAACTAGGTCGATCGACGTGAAGTTTCTGGCCGTCAAGATTTTGTCACCATACAATCTTATCATGGGAAGAACCTGGTTGCACACAATGCAGGTTGTACCACGTACCTACCATCAGTTACTCCGCTTTCCAACACAACACGGCATCGAGAAAATAAGAGGCTCTTAAAGGTCCGCGAAGGCATGTTATATCATTGCTTCGGCAAAGAAGCCGAAGGAGCTAGAACTGAATTCAGTTGAAGTTCAAGACTGAGAAAGCCTCGAGGACGTTGGAAAAACCCCCAATGATAAGGCAACTGAGGATCTCGATCGGGTCGGAATCAATGGGGAGCCCAACAAGTTTTTTATGATTGGCACTTCTTTGGATGCATCTGAGCGATAAAAGCTCGTCGCCTTCTTACTCGGCAACATTGATGTATTTGCTTGGACACCATATGAGATACCGGGGGTAGATCCAAGTGTAGCCCAACACCGCTTGAACGTCGACCTAAAAGTCGGACCAACCATCCAAAAGAGTCAACGGTTGGCTGCGAAGCACACTTCAGCCATTGTTGATGAAGTCGACAGGCTACTAGACACCGAGGCAATCCGCGAAGTTACTTAAAGAACAACGCAGCTGCACTATAGAAGTATACATCGACGATATGGTGGTAAAATCTAAGGAAAAGCATGCTTATCTAGCTGACCTAGCCATGACTTTCGACATTCTCCGACAGTAAAAAATGAAGCTCAATGTCTCGAAATGTGCATTCGGCATCGGATCCGGCAAGTTCCTCAACTATATCATGAACCATAGTGAAATACAGGCCAACCCGAGGCAGATTATGGCCATAATGGAACTCGACTCACCTCAATCAGCCAAAGATGTTCAAAAGCTGATGGGAATGGCAGTCACCCTTAATAGGTTCATCAGTCGTTCCTCAGATCGCTGTCGACTGTTTTTTCATACACATCGGCAGGGCAAAGCATTTCAATTGACCTCTGAGTGCCAGGCCGCACTAGATGGGTTGAAGACATATATTCGCTTTATGCCACTTTTAGCAACCCCATCACCAGGCAAACCATTCATCTTGTATCTTACAGTGTTCGATAGGGCGGTCAGCGCCATGTTATTGAAGGAGGAGCTTGGAAAGTAGCGACCAATTTACTGTGTAAGGAAAGTGATGGCTGATGCCGAAACGCGATACCTGCTGCTGAAAAAGCTTATTCTAGCTCTTGTGGTCCAGGCTCATACTATAGGGATATTAAAGGACTTTCCTGTCCAAGCAGCGCTCCGTAACGCGAAAGCATTAGGGTGAGTATCTAAATAGGCCTTAGAACTCGGCCAATATGATCTCTAATTTCAACCCAAAACGGCCATCAAAGGGAAAATGTTGGCCAACTTTGTCGCCGAGTTTATAGGGTGCCATGCTGACTTCAAGTTCGACCAACTCGCCTGCCAGCCTCAGCCAGACTACAGAATGTATGTTGGAGATATTTGGTAGATGTATTGTGATGGATCGTCAAACCAACGTAACAGTGGGGCCGGCATAGTAATCATGACCCTCAAAGGGGCAATAATCGAGCAGGCAGTTAAATTGGGTTTTGAAGCGTCGAATAACGAGGCCGAATACAAAGTGCTGCTAATTGGCCTCTGTAATACGCTTCATCTGGGTGCCAAATGATTATAGGTTTTTTGCGACTCAAAACTAGTCATCAACCAGTTGAAGAGGGAATATGCAGCTAGAAATGACCGAATGGCAATGTATATGAAAATGGTGAATTCCTTGCTCACGAAGTTCGACCATCATGAACTGAATCAGGTAACCCGAAATCAGAATATGCATGCGGATGCCCTTGCCTGTCTGCCTTCTGCGGTTAACTCAGAAATCAAACGAACAATTGAAGTGGGATTTATCCCAGAACCGATTATTAATCCTCTCGAACCTGTTCAGGTTAACACCATTGATGCAGGCCTAAGTTGGATGGATCCCATCGCCACATTCATTTCCTCAAAGCAGCTGCCAATTGACAAGAAAGAAACCTATAAGCTACGGAATAAAGCTTTACGATATTATCTGGATCCCCTGGAAAAGCTTTACAAAAAATCTCTTTTCGGGCCATATTTGGAATGTGTGCATCCAGACCGAGTCAAGGACTTTTTGGCTAAGATTCATGAAGGCAGCTGCAGTGCCTACTCTAGGGGACGCTCATTGGCCCACCAAGTTGTAACCCAGGTATATTATTGGCTGACCATAAGCACAGATGCCATGAACTACGTCAAGAAGTGCGAACAATGCTAGAAGTTCTCCCCATTAACTCACTTACCCGCCGAAGAGCTGAGCTCCGTCACGAGCCCTTAGTTGTTCGCTCAATAGGGCCTTCGCATCGTCGGACCACTACCGCGAGCTCTAGGAAACAAACGATTCTTGATCGTTGCAACAGATTACTTCACGAAGTGGGTCGAAGTAGAGTCGCTAGCTCACATCCGAGACGTTGATGTTGAACGCTTCGTGTGGAAAAGTATTATAACGAGATTTGGAATTCCCAGGGCACTTGTCTCCGACAAAGGCACCCAATTTGACTGTGGTGCCTATTGAGATCTATGTAATACATATGGTATCCAGCCTTGTTTTTCCTCACCGGCTTACCCACAAAGCAATGGTCAAGTCGAGTCCTCAAATAAAGTAATTCTAGATGGAATCAAGAAACGTCTAGAGAAGGCCAAGGGCAAGTGGGTTGAAGAGCTGCCCCATGTGTTGTGGGCTCACCGCACCACTCCGAGGCGCGCCACAGGAGAAACTCAGTTCGCCTTGTGCTTTGGGACAAAAGCTATAATCCCTCTTGAAATCGGCCTACCCACATTGAAATCAAAGGCTTTTGATACAGGGTGTAACGACATAGTGTTGCCCTTAGATTTGAATCTAATCGAGGAACGCCGAGACAGGGCTCTTGTTCATATGGCATGATATCAGCAACAGCTCGCCAAGTCATATAATCAGCGTGCAAAGATGCACCGTTATGCTCCTGGAGAATTGGTCCTTAAAAAAGTGTTTTCGACTGCAAAAAGTCCGTCAGACAAAAAATTAAGCTCTAAGTGGGACGACCCCTATTAAATCGATTTAATTGTGAAAATGGGGGCATATCGCCTTTCGGACATGGCTGGTTGAAGTCTTCCACGGCCCTGGAACTCAACCCACTTGCGTAAATTTTAACATTAAACCAGCTTGTATGAGGTTCCAGTTCATTTTTTGTTTTTTTGTTTTTTTGTTTTTTTTTGCTGCTATGCAAGTTTACTGAACCGCCAACAATATACAGTACTCATTTCTTATCTTTTGAAATGAAAGAATAAGCCTCTGAATTTGAAGCGCCTTTCATGCATGATCATGATTGGCCATCACAAAGACTCCGAATTTGGAGCGCCCTTCGTGCATGATCACGAATGGCCAAATAAGCCTCCGAATTCAGAGCGCCCGTCGTGCATGATTACGATCAGCCATCACAAAGACTCCAAATTCGGGGCGCCCTTCATGCATGATCATGATTGGCCATCACAAAGACTCTGAATTTGGAGCACCCTTCGTGCATGATCACAATTGGCCATCACAAAGACTCTGAATTCGGAGCGCCCTTCGTGCATAATCACGATTGGCCATCATAAAGACTCTGAATTTGGAGTACCTTTCGTGCATGCTCATGAATGGCTAAATAAGCCTTCAAATTCGGAGCGTCCTTCATGCATGGTCACGAATGCGCCCTTTGTGCATGATCACGAATGACCAAATAAGCCTCCGAGTTCGAAGCACCCTTTGTATTTGGCAATAAAGTGGCGTGGGCCCATAAATTTACAATTATCACACAAGTTCATGCAAACATTAAACAAACCAACACAACAAGTATTTATTTATTTCATCAAAGATGTACAAATACATGGCTTTCGACAAATTCAAAAGTATAATATCATGTTTCTTGATATCTAAGTCTTCTCCGGCTTGGCACCCTCTTCGTCGTCAGTTTTTTTGACATCATAAGCTTCGAAGGGAAACTTGTAACTCTAGAATAGCAGTGGCATCGAATCAACGCATGCGGCTTGCAGAGCCTTGGTCCATCTATGCTTAAAACCATGATTCTTGCATCAGCAGACATCATCCGCCAACTTCTCCTTGGTTTTTTGAATACTGATCTTTCGGCCATAAAGAAAACCTTCTTCATAAGCCCGTGTTCTTATCACCTCCTTTGCGAACATGATTGCCATGTCCCGATCGGCTATAGCATGATCGAGTAGGCGCTAGTTTACCCTATCCATTACGATCGGGTTTGTCGCGGGCTCCATTTGCGTCTCAGCCACCTTGGCCCTTCTTAGCTCATTCTCGGCCCTCTCCGTGCGGCGTTCCAGACTTCAAATGCGCCCATCCTTCTGCTCAATTTTTCTCTACACAGCGCGAAGGCTCATGTCTATCTCATAGGAACTGCATAATCCCCTGACTCCCATGAATGCCCTCTCTGAAAATTTTGTAGTCACCTCGTCCAATCATCGACTGTTGCACTTCGGGTGGAAAAATTTGCCTAGTAAACTCTACTGCCACATTCAGATCATGGATAATTGAATCTGCTTTGGTCATTGGTCTGTTTCCAACAAACACCGTAGAACTTAGTGGGGGTGGTGCCCTAGTCGGTTCGTTTCGTGTTGAGACATGTACACTCCCAGTCCTTGAGGTCCCTCGATGTTGCCCTCCCTCCCTGGCCATTTTTTTACCTCGCCCCCTCTTGGGGACCTGCTTCCATGACGGAGGGCCTGATGCCTCTCTCGTTCCTCTAATGCCACATTAGCCTTTCAGATGGACTCCCCACCAATCCCACAATTCATATCTACTTCCAGTTCAGTTAATGTTTTTCCCTCACCTTTACTGTTGAAGAAAACTCTGCTAGACATACGAGATAATTCACGTCGACACAATGTTTTTTTTTTCCTTTTCACACTCATCTAAGTTTGCGATGTGTCTATTAAAAGGGGCCACGGGCCACCCACGTGCCTGGCTACCCTGCTTATTAATTGCGGGTGCACCAATTACGAAGCGCCCACCGCCGCCGTCCTTTCTGTATTCAGCCGTTATGCTTAGTGGTCAAATGGGGCAAGGGCAAATTTATTAATCTATTCAGCTATTAAACAGTTTTGCCGAATTTGGAACA